GAATAATGTAGCTGCAAAATGTAGTCATGCAAAAACTAGGAATATAAGCAAATATAGTAGTTAACAAATAGTCCAAATAATGTACAAACAAGAACTAATTTAATATTTCATTAATATATTGTAAAGCATTTGATATGCACTAGGTAATTAACATGCTTAGCTAATTAAACAAAAATTTACAAGGAATCATATAATAAATTATCTGTTTTTGACTATTATTTAATCAACTCAATAAAAAATCCCAAGAAAAACAAATAAAAAAAATATCAAATATAAGGTAAATACAAAATTAATTTATACTAGATTATCAATTTTTGTGTTTAAAATCCTTTTTTATTATCATTAGTTATCACAACTATGTTTGTATTTTTATTTTTTTTTAAAATATTAAAATGAGTACTTGTGACCCAGGATTTTATTGATAGTATATTTGGCTAATAGTTGCATTACAACTACAGGAGCAACTATAAAAAGAATGTATAACTAGCCACTTATACAACTTTAGTCATTGTCTAATTTAAGTAGTCTGCTCAAAGGTTCTATACTAGCTGCCATACCTAAAACCTGCTTGTAGGTTCACAATTTAACCACTTTAGTTTTTATATCTATCTATCTACCTCTGCCTACCAACAACCTTGACCAATAACAGTAAAAATATATTATGATTACTAAGTTTTTAAAGTAGTTTTTTAGAACCTTTAATTTTGTACTAAACCTTTCAGAATCTTCTGTATTTCATTCTTATAGCCGACATGATATTACTATAATTGAAACCAATACTAGTAGTCAGGTATACAATTAAACTGATATGACTTTGTAAAGTTCACTTCAATCCTAATACTGACTTTATAACATATTCTTATTACTTTGATATTCAATTTAAGTTCTACCAAACTGCCATTTCAGATAACCCAAAAAGGTAGATCATAACTATACATCTTTGGTTTAAATATTTGTTAGCATGTATTCTTTTTCTTAAAAATCTAGAAATTTTAGTAGTCTGGTTGGTTCATTCAGTTCCTTCTTAAAGACTAACATGTTTGTCTAGTTTCATAAATTCTAATTCTGTTTCATAAGTTTAGTCTTTACAGTAGCACTGTTGAAAGTTCAGGTTACCTCTCTATTCAGATCTTCTAAATAAGCTTTCATCTTTTTACCTGATTCCTGTAATTTACATGACCTAAGATCTAATATTGAGTTCACACTACCTAGTACCAGTTTATGTTCCTTCATACAACATTGTATGAGTGCCTAGACCTTCTAGTTATACTGATATAATATAGATTACAGGTATCTAATTCTGACCAATCATGAAAGACAGTTAACCATAATACAAAAAGAATTGCAAATTTCTACTGTTACTGGAATTTGAACTCTAGAACTGCCACTTGGGGGGTTGACAACCTATCCACTTCACTAGATCACCACACCCTTATATTTGTATTTTTGTATTCAAATAAATTCTATAATTATATATTTGAATGCATATTTATATATCACATCTGAAGTAATGATTTATTTAAAGTAGCCACTTTATATATCTAAAATAGTATCCTGTCTAAAATTATTATCTAATATATGTATAAAAATCTAATTTTAAGAGCTTGATTTTAGTCAGGCACTAGATGCAATATAATCCATTAATCTATACACATGATGAATTCATGTATAAAAAATAATTAAAATTTGATGAATAAGTCATATAGACCAATCAAACATAAGATTTCATGAACAGATCCCATTTAAAACACCATATAAGCTATACACTTTATGATTTCATTACTCTGTCCTAGTATAAATAAAAAAATAAAAAATTAATATTTTCATACCTTTGCTAATGCAGAATATAAAAGGTTTTGTTTAGAGTTTATAGTTAAAATTATTAGCAAGAGTGCAACACTATTAAAAAAATGTGTAAAAATACCAATTCTAAAAATAACAATAATAATTTGAAACCTATTACAAACTGCATAAATATTTTAAAACTGACTATTCAAATCTATATTTAATTAGTGAGATATAATGTTATATCAAAACTTTTTAAGTAATGCTTAATGATTTGTCTAATTACAATTGCAATACTAGATAATTAAACCCCCCAAAATTTATTACATATGTGTGTTTGAATATAAAGAAACCCAAATATAAAAACTATAACTTTCCTTTCTTGTTTTGTGTGATAATATTGTACAATTATATATAAAATGCTGTGAATGAAGTCACAAGAAGTCATTTGTTACAAGATCACATCAATCATCTATAACATTATTACTGGATAAGTAATTGTTAATAAAAAAATATAATCAAGTGATTGATTAAGTAATGAAGTCATTATAAGTAAGAGAGTTGAGTAGTTTTTAATAGAATAGAGTGTGGTAAGTATGATGTTATTAAAAATGGCTATATAAGTAAAGTATGAATGGAAATAGTTCTTCATCTTTTGTCTTTGCTAGGAATGTGATCCTGCTCATCTGAACTCTATTCATCTCTGTTCAAAACCTGAACTAGTTATATAAATATTTTTTAATCATGTGAATTTAATTAAGAAAATGAAATTCAGTGTGCTCAAATCAAGTTTAAAATCAATTTTATGAGCAAAAAGTTCTGTATTTGTAATTTTTAACTTTTTAATTAATATTGATATGATATTTATAAATTTATATAATATAATTTAAAAATAAAAAACTGTATAAATAAAATAAATAAAATAATAAAAAAAGTTTTTTAATTAAATATAAAAGTATGACATTTTTAATTATATGATATTATATTATTTATTTTTTTTTTAATTAAAAGTTTATTGAAAGTAAAAAAAAAATTTCAAAAAAATTGTAAGTAGTTCTTATAAATATATAATACTTGACTTTTTTATTTTTTATATCAATTATTTCAATTTTAATATAATAGATAAAGAAAACATATTTAATCAATTTAATGAAGCTGATTTACTTTTACATCAAACTCAATAGTATCTCAAAATGAATTTGAATCTGAAGCTCTTATAGAGATAACCAACCAATCCTCAAAATAAAAAATTGATCTGTTTTAGGATGAACTTACTGTAACTGGTAATAAATATCATTGTAATCATTGTGATACTACTTATTTGATAAATACAGGTCTTTTTACAATAAAAAAATATTTCAAACATAATTACTCAGATAGATGAAACAAATTAATAAAAATTGTCAATAAGACAAATATTGAACTTTACAATATAAATAAAATTTTACAAATAAATCAAAATCTTGTCAAATAAATTATTATAAATCAGTAAATATTTTTGATAGTTGAAAATAAAGATTTTCAACTATTTATTACTGAATTAACATCATAATACTATCTTTCTTCAAGAAAATTGATCTCACAAAGTGTTTTGAAGTTATACTATGATAAACAAAATAAACTTTGAATCTTTTTTAATATGAGCTATTATAACAAATTCTTGAACTTCATGTACTAATATTGCTTTTCTTGCCATTATGCTTTACTGGATAGATAAAAATTAGACTATAAAATGAACCTTATTGAAAATAATACTATTTTATAAACAACATACTGATAGTTATATAATTGAAAAAGTTTTAGAATCAATTTTATTTTATAATATTAGTTCTTATATTATTTCTGTAACTACTGATAATGCATCTAACATAGATGTATTGGATATACATTACATGATAAACTTTGATATAAATATGATAATTATGACTCATATATTAAATTTTGCTGTTTTAGAGAGTATGAAGATTACAGTTAATTTAATTACAAAATTATAAAATTTTCTAGTTATATATACAAATCATAACCATTTTTTGAAGATTTTAAAAAGATTTTTCAAATAAATAAAAGATTATTTCTTGTACCTAATTTGGATGTGTCCACCTAATTGAATAGTACATATAATATAATTGAAAAAATGCTTTAAATTTGTGAAATGACAGATGTTCTTATAGAAGATAATCCAACCTTAAAACATCAGTATCTAAATGAGAATGAATAAAATAAAATTGAAGTTAGTGTTTAAAATTAATTATTATTATTAGTATATTAATTTATTTTATTTTATTTTTTTTATTTTATTTTAGATGATTGTTATGTTACTTGAGCCTATGATAAAGCAACAATAATCTTGTCTTCATTAATACATCCAACAATAGATGATTTGTAAATAACCTTTTTAATTATTATAAATATTTTACATAAGATATTAAATAGTGAAATGCAAATAAAAAATCAAGTTGTACAACAAATCTATAAAAAATTTGATAATTATTAGACTATTCTTTGAGATTGTTGCAATGTTTCTGTTATATTGGATCCAAACATGAAGTTGTCATCATTTGACAATGAGACAGCAATGATTGTGTGTGAAAGGTTATATAATGTTTATACACAATATATAGAAAAAGAAATTAGTAATATATCTTTTACTAAGAATGATTCTCCAAGAGATTATTTTTGAAAACATTATACTGAGAAGTCAAAGAACAATTCTCTTAAAGAATATCTTACAACTCCTAAAGAGAATTATAATCCACTTGATTTCTGAAAACAATGATCAACCACTGTATATTAAGTAGGACTCACACAAATGACTCAAGACCACTTAATTATACAGGTCACAAGTATGAACAGTGAACAAATGTTTTTAATTGCTAAAAACATAATTAATCTATTACACAATCAGCTGTCAGAAGAAACATTTGTGCAAGTCTTTGTTTAAAGACATGGTATGAATCAGGAATTATTAATTGTGTAAAGGATCATAAATAATGAATGCAATGTGAATGCCAATATGTACAATAAATATATATTATGCAAATACACATTCTAATAAAAGTATAACAGGTTTAAACTAACATATATAATTAATATAATTAATATTCATATATATATGTTTTGGAACAGAGTTTGAAACCCAGTTTTTGTATGTGCTTTGAAACAGTGTTAATTCAGGATTCAAGCACAAACTAACCAGTTTAAGCAGGATCACATCCCTAATCTTTGCTACTAGCTCGACGCAAGTCTAGTTTTGTTGATAGAGCCCAACCATCGGTCACAGAATTCGGGAGGAAAGGGATTGTAAAGGTAATAGGTAAATAGGTTAACCCGGGTAAGCAACCTGGATATCAAAATAAGGAGAATGGGTAATGGGAGGAAGTAGAATAAACGAATTGCATGAAATTAACAACTTAAAAGGAAAAGAAAAGAGGTTACGATTAATGTTGTTAGACGAAACCTAAGGGTTTCGTTATTGACGAAAGTCGAAACCTAGTTTCGTCTTTCATCAAAAAAAAATTGAAATGACGAAATGACGAAAGGTGATGAAACTGATGAAAGGTGACGAAACTCCGATCATTTCCGATTGTGTGGGTCGTCTAAAGCCAGGTGCGTTCACGTGACTAATAGCCAATCAAATCATAACATGTGATCTTCCCGGATCAGCCCGACAAGACAAAAACAAAGAAAAAAAGCGAAAAACGTCGGGAAGATGATTT